CTCCTCTGGTGGTGATGGGCTCCTCTGATCCAGCCAGTGCCAGGACAAGGCCACAGCTTCAACAGGTCCCAGCCCTGCTGAGGGAGGCAGCCTGCAGAGCCCTGATCACCTTGCAGGCAGGGGCTGAGGCTGCTCCTCTGTCCCAGCACAGCAAAGGAGATCTTGGGCACTGGAGATGGCACAGGGGGAACAGGAGACAGTGCAGGGCACGGCTGGGCTCCCTGTGCCCCCAGAGAGCAGATGAGCCTCAGGCTCCAGAGGAAACCCCAGCAGTTCTGTGGGCACCTCCTTAGGACCCTGCAAGGCCAAGTTTGAGATGGCTGCAATGTGGCAAGCCCAAATTAAAAGCCAGTGCCTGCACTGACCTGCCCCATGAGTTTTATTTCTTTTCTCAGCCCACAGACAACTCTTTGCACAGCTGTGGCAGCTGGCAAGGGCTGAGTCAGCCCTTGGTCACCCTCTGAGGCTGCTGGCACTTTGGAGCCCAGCACCAGCTATGCTGGCCCTTAGCTGAAAATCACCCATTCCTAATGCCAGTGTCAGGAGTTGGGCTTCCCACGGGCACGGCTTTGATCCTGTGAGCAGGACACACAATGACCACAGCAATGACTTATGATCCAGTGAGAAATGAAATGTACCTCTGAAACAGAGCAACCACATAATAAAAACCCATTAAAAATAATCAGAAAGAGCTGTTGCATGGTCCCAGAAACCAGGACACGAGACTTCTATGTAAACAGTCTTGTTTTCCATCGGAAGGTGGGAGCTGTGGCTGGATGCAGTCCAGGATGGCTGTGGAGAGCTCAGACTTCTTCCTCAGCAAGCCAAGAAGCAGCATTGCTCCACTAGGTGAAAGGTTTCCTTGTTATTTTCTACTGCTGGGTGAGGAATCCCCAGGGCACATGGTGAGGCTGTTTGCAATCACAACAAGTGTCTGCACGCTGCCTTGGTGGGCTGAATCATCTTCCCACGGTGCCTTGTCCCCCTCCATTTGCACTGGCACAGTGGTGGCCCTGTGGCATGACCCATGAGCAATGCCCGGGGCACCGTGGGCATGGAGAGTGCCAGAGCCCGCCGTGGGAGCTGCTGTCGAGGAAAGCCTGGCCATGCCCTGAGCAGTGCCACTTTAATAACAGAGCTACAGAATTTCATCCCTCAGGACAGGGATAAGATCGCAGCTCGCCTCGGTTGCAAACTGCAGCTCTGGGTGAGCACAGGGGTAAAAAACTCCTCTGTGCACCACCCTGAGCAGCCACCCTGCCACTCTTCAGGGGCTTCATTGCACAACCTGGGACAAACACAGCAACAATGCTCCTGCCATTTAAAACATTATAAAGCAACACCTGCTTGCCTAATAACAGCTTTAAAAATGCTTTATTAACTCTACTCAAAGTTAATGCATATATTATGTGCATTTTAATTACATCTTTAATTGCTAACAAGATGGGTGTATGTATTGGCACAAAACCTTATGTGGTGGCTGCAATGCCTTTATAGAGGATTAACTTCAAAGTCTCATCTTGTTGTCATGCATGAAAGCCTGTATTTGAGATTGCCTCCTCCAACACAGCTAAGCAGTGTCCTTCAAGAAACTGGAAACATCATGAGGCATTTTTCCTTGGGCTGCCTTGTAGTGGGCAGGCTGTCATGCTTCAAACCACTAACTGAACAATAGTGACATATTAAGTTGAAAAAGAAAACCCTATCAGAGTCCTGGACCAGCAAAGGAATTTTGCCTTGACAGTAATTAAGTAGAACACTTAATTATAAATAAAAATATTTATTATTTTTTATTTTTTTATTTATAAAATAATTACAAATAAAAAATTGGATATCAAAGATTTTATTCAAAACATTCCACGTATTTTGCACAACAAATACTTTTACCCTGCATTGCACTGAAATGCCTGAGGGTCACAGCAGGACAATATTGCCATTATATTGGCACTGAAACCTCTTCCCAAATGACCATATACGGCCTGCAGCACAGCTATGAACTTTAGCAATCCAAAATGGCTCAAGTGCTTTGCTACTTATTAACTTGGAAATCCAGGAGACTGTGATAAAATACTCTGCCTGATGGTTGTGATGAGGTCACCAAGAGCCCAAAGGTCATTTCATTTGCCCAAAGGAACCCAATTTTATGGTGCTGGCATCTTTGGGGCTGGCCCTTTCTGGGCCTCCCCCCATCATTGCAGATGTTGTCAGAGAAGCAATTTGTGTAAAAATTGTAAAAATTAAGAGACGTGCAACACTTTAAAGCCTGCTACATGGAAGTGGAGGCCCCTTGTCCAGAAAACAGAGCTGTGGTGGCTCCTGGGGAGCATCAGCCTGGGGGTGTTGGTCCCCACAGGGCCACTCACACCCAGCATCACCTCTGCACGTGCTGCCCCTGGTTCCCTGTAGGCAATCTCCTCTCTGGGGATGTCAAATGGGGCAGCAGGACACCCCGACAGACTGGGGCTCAGGCAGACCAGGCCAGTCTTTGCAGCCTTCACTGAAAAGCCACAGCAGCACTGGTGTCCCCAGCAGTGCCAACCCCCTGAGCAGCACACAGCCACCACATCTTTCCTACAGAGAAGGAATGAAGCTTCAGCCAAGCCCCAAGCACCCCATGGGTGCTCCCCCACCGTGGAGCAGCCCGTGAGTCATTGCTGCCCTTCCAGCCCAGAACAGGCTTCCTCTGCCAGGGCAGAAGGGGATGTGGGCTGACCCTGCGGTGTCTCCCTCCAGCCCTGCAGGGAGGCACAGGAAACCTCAGAGATCCTCTCAGTCCATCTCTGCCAACAACAATTCTGTGTGTTCCCTACAGGCAGCCAGGGCTGCGACCAAAAGGAAGCAGCTGTGCCTGAGGGGAGAGGAGAAACTCCCACATGGCCGCAGGACCCTCCCACCCTGCTGTCCTGGGGGGACTCTAGGCAGGCTTGTGATACAGGGACACATCTCACCCCAGCCGTCCCACAGCACCTTCTGGGCAGTGGGAAGAAGGTGGAAGAGCTGCTGCTCCAGGGGGAGTGACACAGCAGCCACAGCCCCCACGCAGCCGGGACAGGCTGCACCAAAGGGCCCTGGCAGCAGCTCCTCCCTGCTCGGGGCTCTTGCCCAAATGGGCTCCTGCCCTGCCCTCAGCCTCCTTAGCTGCTCCAGTGTCCTGGCACCAGGGAGAGGCTTCATTAATGAATGTTCCACAGGTGCTGCTCAGCTGGAGAGGCTGCCTCTCACCTGCCGTCGTTCCAAGTGGGGACAAGAATCCCAGACTGTGGGTTTCACCAGCAGCTTCTTGTGCAAGAGCAGGGCAGCCCTGAACTGTCGGTGCTCATGCACCCACATCAAGCATGTTTTATATCTGATAAGGAGCAAAGAGGACATGCATAGATAGTGCAGTAAACAGGGAGTAAAGTGCTGCAGGAAGGAACATGAGCTCCCTGTGTCACCCCCCACAGGTCGACTGGCTGCTGTTTGTCCCCCTGATAATGCTTGGGGTGGAGGAAAAAGGGGTAACTGATATGCCAGGAGCCCTGAAGATAAACACAGTGCTGACAGCCATGGTTCAGGGTCAAAGCCTTCATGGGCACCACAAAAAAACACTTGCTCTTTGATGCCAGGGTAGCCAAAACAAGCCTGATTTTGGGGAGAGCTCTGGGTTTTGATGACTCTGACCCTGAAGCTGCAGCTGCTGTCGCAAATGCTTGGCTCAGGCTGAGCTTTCAGCAAGGTTAAGCTGGAGATTTACACCCCTCCAAGACTGTCACTTTCCCTCCCCTCTCTCTTTATTAGTTTCTTACAGACCCTGTCCTGCCTGGGGACAGCTCACTGGAGACCCAGAGTAGAGGAAGGATGTAATCCCTGTTATTTTGGAGGATGGCCTGCCCACTCCCCAGGTAGCTCTGTTGGTTGGCAAACACTGGAGTAATGTGGTGACACATCCCTTACTGGCAGCCAGTGCTCCAAGCTCCAATAATGCCAAAAGGGATTTGTGGTGCCTATTCCAACACCTGCAGCACATTCTCTGGAGAACTTGCCTCCTCAGCAAGCCTATCCCACTGCTTTCAGCTGTGCCATGTCTTTGGGAGCCCTTCCACGTGCTGTGCTTTGTGCTGTCTCCATCTGAGCCTGTTCAGTAGATCCAGTGTTGGCAGCCACATCCTGGTGCCTCTGGATCTAGAGGCAGCAGGGTGCAGGCAGGCTGGGTGTTCCTAGAGAAAGGAAGGAGGATATGAAAGCACCCTGTAAGCACAGGGAGAAAAATTCAAGACACTTAAAGATGTCACTCAGCTTGAACCCTTGATACATCTCCTGCCTTTATAACTTGACTGAGGGCCAACAAACATGTCTCTGGCTGAGGGCTGACACGTGGTGGAGGATTAAGAGGGTAGGGGGTGATTTCCCTGCAAAAGCCACCTCAGGGGACCAAGCCATCCCACCTGCAGCATCCTCACTCAGGTGTTGTTTAGCCAAACTCGTGTGTCCCCTTCCACCACGCAGCACCAGCCAGACTCACATGCACAAACCAAGACTCCTGTGCTGGGGACACTTGGCCAGGAGTTTGAGGGGCAGTGCTGGGACATCATCTATCTTACCATGGCTGCCTGGCAGATCCTTCCAATGGGTTTCTGGTGCCCTCCAGAAATCCCATCTTCCCCCCTGCTGCTTCCCAGACCCTTTCACCATCCACCTCATCCATCTCCTGGTCTTGACCGCTGTCCTGGAATGGAGCCTGGTCCTGGTGTAGAGTGGTCCCAGCTGGCGCCCACTCATGGCAAGCATCCCACAGCTGGTGTCTCCCTGTGGGGAGGGATAGTGAGTTCTGCTGGAGCTGTTGCTCTGCCAGGATTCTGAGGTTGGCTCAGAAGAGCCTGCGTTCCCTTCAGGCACAAGTTCAAAGTTTCCATGCTGCTTTGTGCTGGGAGATGAAAGTGAGGGAAAGGAGGAAATGGTGATTCCTGTTCATGATTGACACAGCTGACTGCTCGGTTTCACCTCCCAGCCATAGAGGGACGGATGCACAAACACACACACACACATTTCTTTATAGGCACGCTCGCACAACTCATTTTGCCCAGGTCCGTGAAGATGCTGCTCTTCTTCTTACTGTCACTCTTCCATTTCAACCCATCTCTGAGCCTAAAAATCTGCTCCTTCAATGTGAGGTCGTTTGGAGAAACTAAAATAGCCAGACCTGAAGTCATCGATGCTGTGGTAAAGGTATGTTTGTTTGCCTGGGTGAGACAGACACTGAGCTTTCTAGCATTTCTTAGATGCACCATCTTGCACTTTGTTTTCTTTCACAGTTAAATATCAAGCAAAAAAAGGAGCTAATTATTTTAAAAATATTGTACTCTTAAAGTAAAAATCAGCCTGTGGTTGAACAGAATGCATGTTGTTATTTTAGATTTCATAGTACTATAGCACAAAAAAAAATTGCTTTTTCCTTTGGAAATTGAGTTACAAAAGGAGGAAAACCTCAATGTACAGTAAAAATAATTTTCACTTTGAATCCACAATACTTTGTTTTGTGATACATTATTTACCTTCTTTATGTGCTAATTATTCTCAAATATTCTGGTCTAATTAGACCTATTTTCAGGACAGCAAATAGTATCTGTCAAATTAGAGTCTGGTAGAAATTTGAAAAAACAATTTCTGTAAGCAAACCCTCATCATCAGGCTGCCTCTGCAAAAGCTGAAGATAAACCTGGTTTTAAAAAGACTTGTGGTTTTGCCCTCCCAGATGCTACAGTGAGGAGGACGAGGGGCTTGGCATTAGTGAGGTGGCTGTGTGTGCAGAATGGCACCAACGAGGAATGGCACCATATCATTGGGTTGTATTCCCTTTATTGCAAACTGGCAGAGAAGAGTGGTTTGCATTCCCAGACCGTTCTTCCTGTACTGTCATCACTGTGGGCAATACATACTAAATATATATTTATATATATAAATATATGTACTAATTGTGGATAAGTTTCAGGGCACAAAGAGGTTGTTGTTTTTTTTTTTTTCTTTGCAAAAATCACCCGCAAGGTTTAAAGAAAAATGAAACCAGGGGCAGAGGGAAGCCTTTGAGAATGTTGGGCTTTGGGTGAGCTGGACTTTCCCACGGGGAATCCCAACAGCAGCTGTGGGAGCTGAGCCTTCAGTCCCTCTGAGGTGTGCAGTGCCCCATGCTGAGGCAGGGAGTTTCTTTGGGCTCCAGGGGCTGTTTCAGAGGAGTCTGGAACAACCCGGGACCGGTGAACGCTCACCGTGGGGCAGGCGCGGCCGGGGCAGAGGCAGCCCCCGGCACGGGTGGTGCTGCTGGAATCGGGCTCACGGGAGCGGCTTTTGCTGCCCCTTCCCCTCCACACTTCCTCCTCAGGGTCAGGTGCTGAAGCTTTTCGCTAAATTTGAAACTCCGCTGCTCCCGGGGTTCCCTCTTCCAGTTCCTGCTGGGGTGTGCAGCAGCTCTGAAAGAGGAAAAGCTTCGTTCCGGCCCCTGCTCCCCTCCCACGATCCCGGGCTGCATGCCACTTCTTTCTCTAAGGATTTCCCCCATGCCCGTGACCACTTCTTTCTAACCCCTTCCTAATCCTCTAAGCCCAGGCGGGCGCCAACTTCCTCCTACTCCTTCCCCTTGCAGATCGTTTCCCGCTGTGACATCATGCTGCTGATGGAAATAAAGGACAGCAAGAACCGTGTTTGTCCTCTCCTGGTGGAGAAGCTCACCAGGTAAGGGTGGCCATGGGCAAATGGACAGATGGGAACGCGGCTGGGCAAGAGCCTGTGCTCTGCCCAGTGCCACTTTACTGGGGCAAAATCTAAGGATGTCCCAGCGCCAAGAAGGACCAAACTCTGGCAGTCTCACTGAGGGACAGGAGCAAAGGCAGCTCCAGACCACTGTAGAACACATTTTTTAAATCAGTATAACCAAGTTAAATTCAATTTGCTACAGAGAAGCTCCCGAAGGAGAAAAAGAATAAGGGGAAATGCCCTCACCGGGCTGGCATCAGGCTGCAGCAGGACAGCCACCTTCCTGCAGCACTTGGAACTGCTTTAGATTAGGGATTGCTTGCCTGGACAATCCAGACATCCAGAGGAAATAGCAGTGTTCAGCTGGCTGGACATGATAACAAGCTGAAAGAGAAACAGAGGCTGCAAGAGCAGGGAGAGGGTGGAGCGAATAGCAAGTGATGGAGCACGGATCCAGATCCTGAGAAGGGTTTAGTGTCTGTACCCACCTGCTTCTGAGGTCAGGCAGGCAATGCCAAAACCCCTGGGCACAGGCAAAATTATCTCTCTCTCAGCCCCTTGTGAGTGCAGAAATTAACTCAGGAACATCCCTTTCCTTCCAGTCAGCTGAAGAGACCAAAGGAGGAGTACAGGTGTGTGGCCAGCAAGAGGCTGGGAAGGAACAACTACAAGGAGCAGTATGCCTTCATCTACAGGTGGGTGAGCCCCTTTGCCAAAAGCCAGCCCCTCCCCCTGCTCTCTGGGGCACAGCCCCTGCTCTCTGGGCTGGACATGGTGGTGGCTTTGCTGTGAGGGAGCCAGAGGTGCAGGCTGTGCAGGTGAGCTGGGCTGTGCCTGGATGTGGGGATCATCCCAGCACAGACACCTGTGTGTCTGTATCCATCCCAGACTATGGCCAGGGCCCAGGTCAGAGCACGGAGTCAGTGTTAGACACGTCTCAGTGAGCCACGAGTGTGACATCCCCTATCCTGTTCATTCTGCTGCAGGCAAGATCAGGTATTGGTGAAACAAACCTACCAGTACCCTGACACCCAGCCTGGGGATGAGGATGTCTTCTCCAGAGAACCCTTCATCATCTGGTTTCAGTCTCCCAAAACCGGTGAGGTGTTTCAGAAAGAAGTCATTGTTCCGCTGGGAGCCAGCACAGCAGCTGCACGTCAGAGGGGAGGCTCCAGGGGCTTAATCCAGACCCCACACTGCTTTTCCTCCCAAGAGCAGCATCTTCCCTCCAGGGCTGCTGCCTCTGGGAAATCCCACAGCCCTGCACATGCCCTGCTGGGAAAGCCTCTGCTGCTGCCATGGGCAGTGGGTTGGTGGATGCATTCCATGCTGCTGGCATAGCCTGGGAGCAGTTCCTGCCTGGGTGCTGGGTCGGGGTTTGCCTGCACTGGCACAGCTCCTCAGGCCTGGCTGGGCACCTGGAGGGGCTCACTGTGCAACCACAGAGATCACCCTGGCCTACAGTCAGAGCAGAAGCTGTTTCTCCCTCAGAAAAAGCCCTTGCTTACAAATCAGTCTCTGTTCCTTTGTGACTCATTCTCTGTTTAACCATTATATTTTTCTTGTTCTTCTGCCTTGTTTTAAAGCTGTCAGTGAGTTTGCTTTTATCCCTCTGCACACCACACCAGACACAGCAGTGCGGGAGATTGATGAGCTCTATGATGTGTATTTAGATGTCAAACAGCGCTGGAAAATCGAGGTTGGTTGCCACATCTGTGTCACCAATTGAGCTTTGGTACTGAGTCACTGGCCACGTTATTCACTATTCAGAGCTGAAAACCTTAAACCTATTGACAATGTGCCCCAGGTTTTAAATATCTCTTTGGTGTATTTTCATTGAGCTCTCCACATTTTATACAGTAAATTTCATCACCTAATAAAATTATCACCAGCGTGCCCTGATGTGACCAGCAGAAAGGAGAAGCCCCACTGCATCCATGGACCATAAAAATCCTCAGTGGTCTTCTTTTGAAAAACTGTCCTCATTATTACATTTGGAAATCCTTTTACCTTCCAGAACTTCATCTTCATGGGGGATTTCAATGCTGGGTGCAGCTATGTTCCCAAAAAGCAGTGGAAGAACATCCGTCTGAGGACTTACTCCGAATTCCTCTGGCTAATTGGTGACAAAAATGACACAACAGTGAAGAACACCACCAGATGCCCATATGACAGGTAAAGGGCTCACTGCCAAACCACCCACTGGTTATGACTCACTGAGAGAAAAATTGTATCAGGAGGTGTCAGTGACCAACAGAGGAAACAAATGAACATGAGTCCATCAAAGACAAAACAGTGTCCAGGGGAAATGTGATCCAAATGCTTCCAGTCAGGAGCACAAAGCCCTTTGCAGAGTGGGCTGGGTAGGATTTACACAGAACCAGCCATCGCTGTGGCTCAGGTGGGGACAGATGATGACAGGACAGCCAGCAGCACTTCTCATCTGCAGGGAGCCCTGCAGACAGCTGGCAAGAGGTGTTGCTGCCTTCTCCACGCCAGCTTTGCACCACGGCTTTTGCTCTTATGTTTGTAATTTGGATTGACAAATGCACAGTGAGGCTCTGCGTGGAGAGGGGACACCTCACCTTACCCTGGACATGTGGCAATCCTGCTGCCACTGCAGCTCCCTTGGCAGGGACAAGAGTACATCTGCTGTTAGAGCCCAGAGTCCTCTTGAAGGATGAGTTTCTGGGTCTGAGCAGGCCCTCATTAATACCTCAGTCAAAATCCTGTGATCTTTGTATCCAAAGCAGGGCGTTGAAATTTGCAGCATTGTTGGTGGGTTTAGACAGAAGTCATTTAATGTTGGTTTCTGAGGCCAGTGCACACCAAGATATTTATGTGCCTCGCTGCCAAGGAGGCACCTAAAGGATCTGACATCGCTGGGCGGGCGGTCCATGGGTGAGGACAAACCACACACAGCTGTGACTTCATCAGGGCCACTCTGCCACCAGCTCAGTGCAGCGAGGCCGCCACGGGTCACGCACCCCATCACAGCACCCCATTCCCTTGCTCCTTGCAGGATTGTGGTCAGGGGACAGAAGCTCATCCAGGCTGTGGTGCCACACTCTGTGAACATCTTTGATTTCCAGGAGGAATTTCAGATGACCGAGGAGCAGGTAGGCACAGCACAGGCTCTGCAGCAGCAGGGAAGGGCTGACACGGGGGCACAGAGCCAGCAGTGCTGAACAGACCTGGCTGTAAAAGCAGCTCACTGTGACCATCACTCCCAAACTGCAATCCAGTGCTCATGTGCCACCTCCCCACATCCAGGCACTGCACATCCAGGCAGGGCTTGCACAGAACACAGGTGGCTCCCAACCCTCTGTGCTGTTGTCTTGCAGGCGCTGGGAGTGAGCGACCATTTCCCAATAGAATTTGAGTTAAAAGCAAAAGGTGGCTTTTTCAACTGGCTGAGATCAAAGTTTTCAAGGAAGAGGAGACCAAGAAGAGCCGCTCAACCAGATCATGAGCGTGTCAGGTCCTCCTACCTGGCATAGAGATACACAGATGCCAACAGATCTCGTAGAAGACTGGTATAGAAATGCTCACAGCAAGTGCAATATTTAGTGGGTAAAAAACCACAAATATTTTGTTAAAGTTCTAATATTTTGTGTGAGAAGGCAAATTAAGACTTAACGCTGCTTTTTCTTCATTGTATACAGAAATAAATTAGCTAGAAGCAGCATATTGTACTTTTTGTCACAAATGTAAGGAGCTACTGCAGGGCTACAATATTTCTGTGTGCTTTACATGCAACACCTGAAGGGCAGGGAGTTCCCATGGGCTCTGGAGCTTTGCCATTCCTCTGTTGGGGCAGAAGGATTAAAAAAGACCTTTTTGCATTATGTGTGTGTCTGTGTGTACGTGTTAATGATTCAGAGCTGCAGCCAGTGGGTATGATGTTGTACCTGGTGGCTTGCAATGCAAAATATTGCTGAATTTAGAGATTTCTCAGTGCGGGGTTTAAATTGGTCACAGCATCTAGGATATGGGAAAGACAGAAAGAAAAGACAGAGACAAGCAGTGAGGGCCCCTTTTGTGCACTGCCCAGCTCAGAGCAGCAAGAAGATGATGGTTCTCACCCCTGCCCACCTGCAGACCTCAGGTGAGACGTCCTAGGGATCCCAGGTGACACTGCTGCCAACAGAGTGTCAAAAAATTCACATCAAAATCTGATTTCAGCATCCTGGCGTAGAAGTGAACTGCACCCCCCTCGAAAAAAAATCTCCATGGCAGTCTAAAGTCCTCTGATGAACCAGATTTTAATGATGATTATTTAATGTAATGGTGCAGCAATCTGTTTTCCTAGCTCAGCCCACAGGCAGCATTTAGTGCAAACCAAACCCTGCCACACAGATGGCATCTGGGGAGTGGGAATAATCCAACTGTTAGTAGAGACAAATATTCATCTCCCTTCATCAATGCACCCCAGGTTGCCTGCTGAAAGGGCAGGTGAGTGAGAGAGGCTTTGTGGGGAGGGAAACAGTTTGGCATTTGTGAAACCCACTGTTCAGGGAGAAGAATTTGAGGAAAGAAACTAAATTAAGAGAAAATTATCTCAGGAGGTTGTGTGCAAAGCGGACAACAAATCCTCCAACTTTTAGTAGCAATTAAAGTAGAAATGATACAGCATTTTGTATGCCCCCTCACACTGCAGTCAACACAAAGGAAAAACCCTAAGAACAAATATTTACATTGGGATTTTTATAGAAATGCCACTTTCTAGCTGACATCAGTGATGGTTCATGTAAAGACTGAAATCAGTCTGAGTCTCTGGCCTCACATCTTGCTTCTATGTAAGTACTTTATATCTCTTGGCTTCCAGAAAGGAGCAGTGAACAGGGAAAGAAATCACCCTCCAGAAAAGCAATAATGGACACATTCAGTCATGAAAGATATATAATTACAACTAATTTTTACTAGAAATATTTGTCCTTACTTGCAATATTTGGTATAGCCTTTTATCCAGCACCTGAAAATAAGAGATGTGGCCAGAGGGCAGCCTCAGGAGTGCTGCCAGTGGCTGCTGGTCCCGAGCAGTGTGCTGGGTTTGGGTGGGATAGAGTGAATTTTCTTCACAGTAGTTGCATGGAGCTGTGTCTTGGATTTATGCTGAACACTGTGTTGAAAACACAAGGATGTTTCTGGTGCTGCTGTGCAGCACTTACACAGAGTCAAGGCATTTTCTGTCTCCCACCCCACCAGCGAGTTGGCTGGGGATGCACAAGAAATTAGGAGGAGATGCAGCCACAGCAGCACTGACTCAAGGGATATCCCATACCAAATGGAGTCCTGCTCAGCACTCAAACCCTGGGGGAGAAGAAAGGTTCATCTTGCAGAGATGCTGAGCTTCTAACTGACGGAGAGACATCTTAATGCAAAATGATGCTCCTCCATGGAGGGCTGGGACATGGTTTTGTGGGATTCACAGCAGAGAGCATCTGCACATTGTACATGTGATAGGGGCTGGGAGGTGTCCCAAACTCCTACTGTCAGCACAGTCTGTCTCTCTAGATATTCATGAGACAATATTATAATTACATCCTAAAATATTTAACAGTTCATGCTGTCTCTAGATTTCCCCCCCCCGGGGATCATTACCCAGCAGTCCCAACTGCAAAGGGGTTTTAAGTTGTTCCAGCCTGCAGGAGCCTCAGTATATTCTGCAGCCAGAACAAAGTGGCTGCATGAATAAGGCTTCTTGAGCTTTATTTATGATCAAACAGGAGTTTTTCACTGGGAATCCAAAATTCCTGGAGAGACTTTGTCTCATGCAAGCCAGATCTCAGATCACGGCTGGGAGAGAAACAAAGAGGCTCTTCAGAAGCAGAAAACTGTTTCCTCCCCAGCAGCCCTGTTCACAGAGAACACAGAGCAGAGGGGGCTCAGCTGAACAAAAAGTGCTAAGACCCCCAATCCTTCAGGTTGGGGTCCTTGGGAAGCCCTTCTCCAATACTGGAGGCACCCTCACTTCCCACAGACCCAAGGTCTCCACTGCCCGCAGAGAGACCCCTCCCAGCCTGCACAAGGTCTCTCTGCTCCTCACCACACAAAAACCCACACGAGGAAGGCTTTTGCTGCCCTAGGGCTGTAAGTCTCTTAGCAGGGGTACCCCCAGGCACCCACAGCAGCAGCCCAAAGCAGGACTGCCTCATTTCCACAGCCTCAGTCATCGCCGCTGGATAGGTTTGTCCATCTGCACCTTCACTTGAAGAGGGCTCCTGGCTTCTTCCTGCCTTGGCACTGCTCCCCACTAACCCACCTGACACCTCTGCCTACCTCCTTTTGCCTCTTCTGAGCTACTGGCAGCAATGAGGACAGAGGGGAGCTGGTACAAAATTCCCCAGGGACCCACCTGGCTTCTTTCAGGGTCTGCACCTAATATCCGATCTAAACCTCCCCTGGTGCATCTTGAGGCTGTTTCCTCATCCATCCCCCACCTGGCTACACTGTCCTGTCAGGTATTGTAAAGTGATAAGGTCCCTCATGAGCCTCCTTTTCTCTAGGCTAAACAACCCCACCTTCCCCAGCTACTCCTCATAAAAGTTCTGCCCCAGACCAGATGTACACATGTACAGATGTTTGGCCACATACAGATGTGCAGCAAACAACTGAGCTGCAGCCCCCAGAAGGGCTGTGTTGTGCTGTAACACAGCAGACCTGGTGGCACTGACAGCAAAATCCAAGGCAGAAAAATCAAAGAGCCTACCAGTGTGATAGCAGCAGCTGGTCCAAGCTCGGCTGGCTCGTGGCCCCTCAGCCTCTGGAGGGATTGTGAGGAGCACTCACGCCCCAGGCTGGAGCTGGCCGCTCACTGACCAAGCATTTGCCACAGAATAGGACCACGAGTGGAGCAGGGGCTTCCTGGGGCATCAGTGCTCATGTGGCACTCCAGGGGAGCTTCCCTCAGTGCCCCTGTAGCCCAGAGCTCAGCGGTCCTGTGGGGATTTTTCTCTGCCAGGCAAGCCTGGGAGATGGAGAAAAGGAGGTGAGGGCAGCACTCATCTTTCTCCTGCCTCTAGTCAAAAGAAAAACAAATTTAAAACCCACTTTCCCCCCTCCATCTGTGGCTGGTGAACAGCAGCTGCAAGCTCCTTCAGCCTCTTGCCCAGGGTAAGGTTTTGTCTCCCTCAGGGCTCCTGCCCGGCAGCGGAGCCGGAGCGCACCGATGTGACCGGGGCCCCTCTGGTGGCACCGCGGTGTGTCCCAGCTGTCCGGGGCATTCCCAGGGAATTCACACCCCCAGCATGGCCAGCAAACCCAGCAAGGAAAGGAAAAGGAATTTACCCTCCTCAGCTGGGAGCTCATGGATCTGCATCACCCCATGTTCTCCACACGGACGTTTCCATTCACTGCGGACAGCCCATGGCTGACCCCAAGGAGTCCCCAGGCCTGCCGTGTTTCTATGTTAATTTTGCAATAAAAAGGGAGCACTTTGTTGGCTTGAGGTCTAGTTATTCTTTGCCCACAGTTATTTAACCAGGAAACGTGCTGTGATGAGCCTCCCGAGGTGGCAGCAGCTCCCAGGACCAGGTGCTGGCAGGTTACAGGGCACATCCACCCCTGGGAGCCCTTGGTGTCCCTGCCACACCTGCACCAGGAGCACAGGGGCAGCTGGCCTGGGCCAGCAGTGACCACAGCCTTTCCTGCCTTCCAACCCCCTTGAGATGTCTCCTAGGGACTGTGCTTCTGCTCTTTGGTGGCTTGTACCTGCTTTTGGGAAAGACGTGAGGCTGTTCTGGCACCAGTGCCACCATCCCCTGTCTGTAACAGATGCCACCAAGCCCTTTTCCAGTGTCAGGGGGAACTGTAATCAATTTGGATCAGAGGCTCTTTCTACAACCAGAGAATCACAGAATATTCTGAGTTTAAAGGGACCCACAAAAATCATTGAATCCAACTTCTGACCCTGCACACAACCCCAAAATTCACATTATGTGCCTGAGAACATTGTCCGAGGGCTTGTGAACTCTGACAGGCTTGGGGCCATGACCACTTGCCTGGGGAGCCTTTTCCTGGGCTCATCCACCCTCTATGTGAAAAAACTTTTCCTAATATCCAACCTTGACCTCCCTGAGCTGGGTTTAGCTCACATTCCTCTCTATCATCCTGACAGATCAGGGACACAACCTCTGCACTTTCACCTGGTATAAAACCACAAGTGCCCTTTCTCTGCAGGCTGGTTTTCCAGTAGGTGTGAAAAACAAGGTTAAATACTTTGTGTGTAATTTTAAATATAGAGTCTCAGCTGCCACTGTTTGCAGGGGCAATATTCTGGTAGAGAGAAGAGAGATTTATAAGAATTAATTTCCATATTGGCAAAGTAACAAAAAAACCTTCCCTGAAAAGCTCTGCAAATGCTGGCATTGAGTTATGACGGCTTTCTGTGTCTCTCATTGGGAGGAGAACTTGACCCCAGCCATTTTTGGGGAAGCCAGATGCAAAATCCCACCCCCCAAACAAAACACCCTAGCTGGATATCACTGTCAGAAGGAAATATCCCCCCTGGCAAGACCAGCTCCTTCATGGGTTCCAAAAG